CCCGGCCAGGACCCTGCCCCCCCCCCCCCTGAGGGGCGCCCGAGTCCCGGCCCGGAGGTCCGGCTGGGCCCTCCCTGAGGCCCAGGCATCCCCGCAGACGGTGGCGCAGGCAGTCTGGGCTTGGGCCCTCAAGGGGGCCTGGAGGCTGCCAACGGGCCCAATTTGCTGTGCTAATGGGGGCTTTGTCCCGGCAGCAGCAGGACAAACTGTAATTATGTCAAGTCACATCCTGCCGCCCTGGCTGGGCGATTAGCTGAGGTGCCAGCACCTGGCAGCCGACGCCCCAGGCTGGCTCCGGGAGGGGTCAACCGGAAGTGGAGAACAGCAAGGGGAGCCCCTGGCTAAGCCCCCTCTCGTCCAGCACACACCCAGCCCCCACAACAGGCCTGCCGATGCGGGCCCCAGCTAGCTGTCTATCCTGCTAACACCCCTCCGACTATAAGCCCAGTCTCTACAGAGTGAGGCAAGAGGAAGCCGTGTGAGTCGCTCTTCCCGGGGCTTGGGTCAGGGCTTCAAGGGAGGCATGTGGGGGTGCCAAGACCCTCGGCCTGACCTCAGCCGACCTCCTGGGGGCTCACCGGCCCAGGGCCCCTTACCCTGCACAGCTCCAGGGGACCGCTCATGCACACGGCAACCACTTCGAACCTAGGCCTCCATGGAAATGGCCGCCTCTGCAGTGGGGCAGTGGACAACCCGGATGGCTGGACATGGCAACCCTTCTCCAAGACAGTTTCTCAACTCCTTCCCTCAACCGAAAAAGAAGCATATTCTGGAGGCTCAGCGTTGTTGTTTGTTGCTGGGCAAAGCCAGTCAACCTCTTCCTGGGACTGTATTCCCAGAAGGATGCTGTTTTGTATGAAGTGGGACAAGGAACATATTCCTCCCCCTCTTCTGGGTGGGCACCGTCATGGAGTTCTGAGCCAAGTTCTGGGCCTATCTGGGGAGAGAAACAGAGGCACCGAAGGAGAAGTTCCAGGAGCTTTGGACGCTGCAAGGACCCGGATCCATATTGTCTGGATGTGGCTGGTGCCTTCAGTCAGCAGAACTTCTTGGGCCTCGAGTTTAGAAAATGAGGCTAAGCCGGGCCTGGTGGCTCAGCCTGTCATCCCGGGCCTTTGGGAGGCTGAGGTGAGTGGATGGCCTGAGCCCGCGGGTTCGAGACCCA